GGATTCAGCTTTGTTTGCGTTTGCAGAAGCACGTTCAACAACACATTCCTCCAGATGTCTGATGGACCCATTCTGAACTTTGATCGGTTCTCGTCTGCCACGCCTCGCGTAATTTCGCAAGCCTACGTTATGCTGACGTCGACTTGAGGACACTTTCCGCAGCCTGGGTTCGTGTCGATTTATTCCATCACGAGCATGTCTCTCGTTTACCGGTTGCTCGTTTTTCTAGTATTTTTATTGTATTTAGGACAGGGAGGTTTGTTGCTTATCATTTAGCACTTCATAAACCTCAAGTCGATGATTTATCCAATGAAAGACTTATTTAGAATGTGGTGCCAACGATCGAGTTCTGTTAAAGGATGTTAATACAATAACTTTGCGTGATGGTCAATATACAACGGGTAAGCATCATTCTTATAACTTTTGTATCTTCTATTTTTTATTTTGGTGAAGTATTTGGAAGGGATGTTTGTTCATTTAACCAATTTTTTATTTTCGAAAGTTATGGTGTAATCGGCTACGACGGTGTGAACCATAATCATCGATTGATCATGTACAAACTCCATTATTAGTCTGTAATTTCATAATTGTTCTATGCATCTTTTTCTTTCATAGCTATAAAAAAGTGCCAGCGAAAATAGATGAGTCATCAGTAAATGATAGTAGAAACCTCCTATGAACTCTCTTTTTGATGTTTGAAATGCGTAAAAAAATTTTGTGGAGTTAATAATAATCCAGAAAAATTTTTCCAAAACGAATGCACGTAAAACTAGCTTAATTACAGGCCGCCGTGAAGCGCCCGTCCCTCAGTTAAAATGTGTTGGCGGTAGTGCTAAGGGAGAGTATAGACCGCGCACGGTACAATGTATGAGGCAAGGTTTCGATGGAGTTGATTACCAATGGAAATGTGTTGCGGATATGCCTAATGAGTTTGAATTTGGTCAGGTGGGTAAAAATTTCATTAGTTTTTTTTGGAGCGTTCCGTGCTTGTTACCCTCATACGGAAGTGGAAACTCTGCTTCTCTTTTGC